GAGAAAATGCGCTGACGGCGGACGGCGGGCGGATAAAAAAATTGTTATTCGATTTTCGAATTCTACTCATCCTGAAACGTGAAACCTCAAATTTAGAGAGGGGGTTAAGTTTTTGAATTTTTTCAATGGTTGATTATTGAAAATGATAAACCAAAATACATGTAAATTATAGTTAAACAATTTAAGAAACGATTAGTTCAATTAAATGTACAGCTGTATAATTTGTAAAATGGAGTTTGGTCAGCCGCAAGTGGGACAAACGACCAATCTAGGTGAAAAAAACTCTAACAGCTGGTATTTTATTTTTATTCTAGCTGTGATTTTTATTACCGTACAGGCACATGATATTCTATTAATTTATATACCTACATAAGGGAAGCAAGTAAGGAAACACGTAGGAACAATAAATGAATTATATATATATATATATATATATATAGTAACAAATTAAAGCAAATTTTAGTAACAAATTAAAGCAAATTCATTTATGTATTCCTCAAATTTTCAATAATGATTATGGTCGAATTTTGACCACTTTATAAAAAAAACTAAACTTTTCTGGAACATGATTATCATTATAATAAGAAAGTATAAGAAACACTTTATAATTAATATACAAAAGTTTACACAGACAAAAAATTATTGAATCGATTTTGTTCATTTGTGTTATATCTATTGGGTTGGCAAATAAGTCCTTTCGGTTTTCCTGTTTATTTTTTGGCCACAATGATACACTTCTTATGTAATGAATTAATGCCTAAGGTGGATTGTTTGTAATATGTCAACAACTGTATCTGTTAAATATTGTTATAAATATACTTATATATATATATAAGTAGGATCTTCTTAATTCGATAATTTATTTTGTGCATTTCAAATACAAAAAAAGATTTTTTTTTATTTCGTAATTTAAAAAATACAGGATAAAAATGTATTAGTATTAATAATAATAATAATAATGTAATTATTAATTTAAAACGCTAAATTTAAATAATGTATTTTATTTTTTATTTTAAAATATTTTATTTAAAAAACTACTCAGGTTTGATCCAATACTTCAACTGCAGTTGGCGTGGTGATTTAACTGAGACTTCTGTGATGAACACATTTTTTTCTGTTCCTTGCGTATCGATTATATCTTAAACTTTATTGATTCATTCGAGTATAGTACTTGTCGAATCGTTTAAATGGGCGACAAATAATCAAAGAAGAAGTATTTAGTGAAGTTTCTTCACCACAAGTGCTCAAATTTTATTGTTTGTACAACCAAAAAATACTTTAAAAGACTAATTTAACACATTCTTGCAATTTCGTTTTAATTTTTTCCACTGCCAATTTGAGATAGTTACTCAGCCCAGCAAAAGAGAAATGTTTTCCGACTCGAATCGTTGCTAAATAACATTAATTATAGGCTATATATCGGTAGGATTTTTCCAAATGCCGTTTAACTCCCTTATTTAAATAGAATATTTTTAAAAATAAAATAAAATAATGTCTTAAAAGGCAGACAAAGACAATCAACTCTTTTTTTTTTTTTTAATATACCTTCTAAGCAACATCTGAGAAAATTTCACTGGAGTATTTTTGGGTATATTTTTGTAAATTATTTTGAAAGTTATAAAAAGATTTTATTTTAGAACATGTAGAAATAAATAAGTTGGACAAATTATGAAATGATAATTTGATGAATGACTTACTTAAATACTAGGCATCTATACCTATCAAATAAAAATTATTATTATAAAAAAAAAATTAACTATTGGTACAAAGCTCAAATGAAAGATAAGGTAATAACACTTCTACATATATAATTCTTAATATTTAACTACATTGTCACCCACTATATCTCTGATACCATCTTTCATTTCTGTATCTGACAACTTCTTCGTATTTTATATATAATTATATTTATTTTTTATTTTCAACATGTTTTGTATCTTTTGTAGCCCTGAAGACGACCTGCAAAATCGGGTCGAAACGTCGGCAAAAATTAAAATAATTTATATATTATAATTTTTTTATTTATTTGACCGCACCCTCGACTAACTCCTTCTCATATTATATCAACGGTCAACCATCTCTACATCAAAACAATTTATGATTATCTTCGAACTAAACATTCCTCTTTTATCCCATTACGTCGGATTTAAAAAAAAATTTAAAAATGTTGTATGATTAGGGCAGAAAAAACTGTATAAAATCAACTATTTTTTTTTTTTACAATAATGACACAATCAAATTAATTTATATTTAATTTCCATTTGAATAAAATAGTTTACATTTTTTTAATGAATTAATTTTTTAAAGAATACTTAAGTAAGCAAGTTTTATAATATTACTAGAAAAAAAAGGGCCGGTTTCGGAAATAATCTTGTTTTTACACCACTTGCACCATTAGATTTATCGCTGTTTTGACATGAGAATCGATAAAAAAAAAAAAGTCTGAAAAGAAGGTCAGTATAGCTTCCTCAGCCTTTTTTCATTTGCTAAAAAATATCCATATTAAATGGTCTAAAAATTTTCTTATGAGAATAAAATCTTTGGAAGAAGCCGTTTTCGGAAATTCATTAACCCCTCAACATATCGATATCCACATAGTGGCTTGATATCCACGAGTTTTGCTTATCAGCAAATACTAAAATGCGAAAAAGTTCCACATTTGCAGATTGCATATTCATAATAAAAAGATAATTCATAATAAAAAAAATCCAGTGCATACTGAATATGTATCTCGCTACTGTTAGTCCAAGTGACTTATGTAAAAATTGAGTATTTTACAGGAGAGCATAAAAATTAATTATTTCTTTATGATTTATGAGTATAATTATATGTTTTATTGCCCTCTACTATTTTTGTAGTAGTAGACTACTTCTATCAATTTCAAACTACATAATGTCAAAAATAGAATAAAAATTGAAAACTTTTACATACGGCATTTGCACTAACAGTAGTGATATATACTTAATAGGTATGTTCACGAGTGAAATGGATGGAATAAAAAATCCATAGGAGAAATTCTACTTTTTGTTTGTTTGTTCAGAATTAACGAGACCATTACTTTTCTTCAGTCAGAATAAAACTAATTTGATACTGCTGGACAAAGCTGGAATATACAAATATGAATGAAATGGACACAATTTTTAAGCAGAAAATCGATACCACCACTAGCTGATTGAACTTCAATGGAAATAAACGCAATCACAAATAAGACTTTTTAGTTTTACAAATTCAGAGTAAAAATTACTTTAAATTTACTGAAAATTACACGAAATTTATCTAACGGCAATATGTGTAACGGCAGTAACATTTGGAATCGACTAAACAATACAGTATAAATTAACTTTTTGAATATAACCTAAAATATTATAACCCCATAATAATATTGTAATAACTCCCACTCCATATGATCAGTGCCTACCACATTTCGCAGCCATTATATTATTAATAATTGTTATATTAATTTTAATTATCAAATGGAATTAATAAAATTGATACTAAGCAATTTCTACACTGTTCACCAAATTTCTTCCAAGTTTGGTTCAAATCAAGTCCGTCGTTTTCAAACTAAAGGCATATCAAATAACACATTTCCTGATGCAAACGTAGAAGTATTTTTATTTGGAATATTAGATAGAATTTGATTAAATTGACGCCTATTTCGTTTTGCATTTACCCTAAATCCCCTCCAAATTTCAGCCAAATCGTACTTGCGGTTTTAGAGATATAGACGTATCAAGGAAAACAAGTGTGCCCATATATAAGAGAAAGCAGTGGACAGAATTCAATCAAATTGACCCTACATCATTTTTTCACAAATACCTACCTTGTTTCCAACTGCGATCCAAATCGAACGAGCTGTTCCTGAAATATTGGCATATCTACAAAAATGCGTTTGCGCTTGCGTAAGCGGAAGTGCTGGTCAGCATTTAATAAAATTGATATGGGAACATCTAGACACCAACTTGCACAATTCCTGATAATTCCATGAAAATCGGTTAAACGGTAGTGGGTGATATGCCCGTTACATCGATTTGACTACAGACAGACAGACAGACACCGAACCAAATTTGATCCTTGATGTCTTAAACGTAAAACGTGTGTGCAAATTTTCGATTCTAAGCACACAATTTTTTTAACCTCTTGCACAAATACAATGCTTCCCTACCTTCTTGAGTATTGAGGAAGCAAAACGTATAGAGTTTACATTAGAAACAAACGAATCATAAATTCTGATAGTGGATAATTTTTAACTGTAGAAGATAAAATGAAGAGAAGTTGGGATTTTATTCAATGAAAATGCAAAGTAAAAAGAAATAAATTATATTTATTTTTATTTCTTTTGTGCCAAAATTTCAGGTCTTCATCAGCGCAAAGGCAAGAAAACATATAAATATTGAGAAAAAAGTAGACTGGAATAGTAATAACACGTAGGTAAAATAGTGGGTAACATATTATTACTATCACTGTCTACTGTTTTCTCAATATTTATCTGTAATATCGTTAAAGCCTTGATGCAGGCCTGAAACTTAGGCCGAAACGCCAGCACAAAGGAAATAAAAATGTATTTTTACATCGTATTTTCATTGACTGAAAAACCCAAGCAATTTCACTTCAATGAAACATATATTAATTTCCCTTTCTCGCCCACAAATTTGCACTTATCACACAACAATGTAGTTGTTTAAATTACCAAAATAAGTATCGAATTGATAAACGGTAAATATTTTTATATCTTAAAAATACATTACTTTTTACTTGGACTCTATTTAGAAGCGAATCGACCTTGGATGTGTTTGTAAACATCAACTACGTGGTTGAGGTTCATTCTCAACATGCTGGACCTACCTCAACAGTTAACTATTGCACTTGCAAGAGCAGCATCTACCGATAGTACTCTGCAACAGTGAACCAATCTCAGCCAGTTAGTTGCTAGAAATCGCTAATAGAGGTCACTCGGAGTCTGATAAACACAAAATTACTCAGTGTTGAGTACGTCATGGAACAGAGTGGGGGTCACTAGTACTCCTCGCCGAACTGCAGATCGCGGTGTACTCCAGCCGGCTGGATCAGTTTGTGGTCGAGGATGGGGGACGACGCCGCTGAGAGGTTGATGAACGGCCTGGGAGATGTGCTCAAAGACATCACCTCAGGAAATGTCACGACGGACACCTTCGTCAAGACTGCAACCACCATCAAGACCATTCTTCCGACGCTCGGCCACTTCAAGATCGTGAGTATTTCAAGATGTTTAAAACATTGCTAGTGTTTGAGGTCAATCGGCCGCATTCCGTCCCGGTCATGTCATGACTGCCCGGCGGCTTTGATCTGTCATCCGCTCTGCTCATCTAAATAGCGCAATAGTTTGTTTGTGTTCCCATTAATATTATATGTACATATATATATTTTTAAACCTCAATACTCTAAGATATAAATTTTTGATGACTAATTTACTGAGATTTAAATACATTCTCAATTTAAAATATATATATTACAGGTTATTTTAATGAGATAATAGTAATGAAGAACTTCTTTTAACATTCCAATATTTGCTTTGTATGATGCTTTGCCGTAAATTATTTTCTGGCATATCAAGTTCATATAAAAACATATATATATATATATACACAGTGTGATTCGGGAGAAATGGGACGTAATCCAAGAGTGACACAAGGAAATAATTAAAACAAACCCATATGTTCTTATCCAATTTTCATGTGTTTACATTTTATAGTGTAATTAAAAATAAACAAAATTTTTCACAAATAATATTTCATGTATTAGTATGATGGCATTAAACTTGAACATTTATTAAAATAATGCTGATAGATTTATGTATTATTGTTAGTGAAATTGTGTTTATTTGTATCTAGCCAACACAATTTTAAACAAATGAAAATCGGGGATGAACAGATGAATTTACTATAAAAAAACAAACAATTTATTTAGTATTAACGAACTGCTGGAGTTTGCCCCGTTCCTCCTGATTCACCTTGTATACTTAAAAACAATACAATATTATTGTTTATTACGGCCATTAAGACTGACCAATCTCGTAGTTTCTTAGCTTTATATACGTGATCTAAAAGACAAAAGCTGCCCGCTTTTGGATTCTGCTTTCTTACATTATTACAACTACTCGAAAATTCTATAGAAAATTATTCATGTCATAACAGAGAAATAAGTAGCACATTAAATAAATAAACATGACATGTTTTGTTTACTTTTATCATTAAAAATATACAGATATATTATTTTAACTTATCTATATGGAATATATATTATGGGAAAGTATTACGATTGTGAATTATTTTTGAATCTTAATTGGTAATTGGTTGACTGTCGTGGATAATGAAGAGAAGAATAGTTGGGGTGCTCAGTCAAAAAGGAAGTCAAAAAATAAATTATAATATTTACTTTTTACATATGCCGACGTTTCGACCTGAAGTTCAGGCCTTCATCAGGGCTAAGAAAATAACCAGATAACAAGGTATGAGATACTTATGTTTCTCGTACCTTGTTATCTGGTTATTTTCTTAGCCCTGATGAAGGCCTGAACTTCAGGTCGAAACGTCGGCATATGTAAAAAATAAATATTATAATTTATTTTTTGCCTTCCTTTTTGACTGAGCACCCCAACTATTCTTCTCTTCATTATTTTTGAATCTGATTTTTCAACAGAAATGAATGTTTTTCGGTCCCCTGAGTTTAAATAACCAAGTCCCGCAAAATGGTCTTTGTGTATATGAACGAACAGTCTAGCTGATATTTAAGGTCTGAACATATCTGGGAAGTTCCAGCAAATTTTTCGTCAAAGTCGGCTAACCGGAAGTGGCACTTAATAAAATCGATTTTACATATTTTTACGATTTTCTTGAAAACTCCATTTTGATTAAATTCATTATATCAGTGAAAAATTAAGCAGTTTTTGATATAATTTATGTTTTATTCTCATTAATGTTCTCTAACAGGGCTTAGATCTAAAAGACCAATTCACATAAAATAATTAACTATTTCACAATCTACTCTAATATAAAAATTAGTTAAATATGAAATATGAAAGAATTTGATAATTAAATAAAGAAGAAATAAGGGAACCTGATGAAGAAAAGTTATAATAGAAGGACCAATGAATACGAGCACGCCTCAGAGATTAGAACAGCTTACATACGTAATATGAGCTTGATATAATGCGCACCCCGACAATATTATGCACATAAACATATGCCGTTTTCATAAATGCTATCGCTTATTTTATTTAATATTTAATTGTATAGATTACAGCGATATAAAAATCCAAATTTGCATATATACCTGTACTAATAAAAATACCCACAATGAAAAATAAATAAATATACTAGTCTTTATCAGTAGAACTCGTATCGGAATAAAAATTTTCGTGACACTTAATTACTTATTATAACCAAATAAATAATTGAACGATCCTCTACACTGATCTACGGTAGAAGAGGAATTGATTAAGAAGAAGAAGAAAAAATAATTGAAGTATACAGTTGTAAAAGAAAATAGCTAGTGTCAAATAACATAGATATAATAAATTAGACGGATAGGAGAAACATATGGGAATTAATTGTTTTTAATAATGTTTCATTCCGTCTATAATTTTCTATTTCTCTACCAAATTATCTCAATGAAATTATTTCTATCATTTGAGTGAACTTTTTGGGATTTTTTGTCGATAAATAACGTCACATTTGCGGCATTTTTCAATATACTTACGATATTATTTATGGAAATAGAGATTGAGAAGCTCCGATGGAACATCACAATGTTTTTAAAATTTAATTTTCCATTTTTCTTCTTCTTTATCATTAAAATATATTGCTTTGTTAAATATGTTGATAAAGCATAAGACTATAGTTTGCTTTTCTTGGAATATTTTCAACTTGAAATGCTTTTACTCGAGTACTCTTTAATTAAGAATGAGAAGTCATTGGTTACATGCATTATGAAATAGGAAATAAACAGTATGACTAATGCCAATGGTAATATTCAATGTCAATTCCACGTATTACTATTCAAATATAAAAAATGTAGGTAGCTTAATAAATAATTTATTAAATTATATTAGTCAACTTTAATTTTTATATCTGTTACTAAATTATTTTTTAGTTATTTATTGTTTTTTTAGATGTGAAGATATAAAATATTTATATAAAGTTAAAGATTTATAATTTTACTTCTATTTCATTAACGTTCTCTTAAATAATTAAAGGTTAAATGTTCAGCCTTTAAGTTAGCGTGTAAGAAACCATTTGAGATAGTTGATCGGTTAATTTTAACAGAAGTAGAGCTTAACTGACTTTTACTGAAACATTGTACATACAGACAATGTTGCCTACAGTCCGATGGCAACAATAGTCAATTCATGGCTCAGTGAGCTCACACAGATCCATTGTTTACTTCTAATTAACTGCGGATCCTGGGAATGTTTTTCTGTTAGCTATAAATTATTTTACTCTTCAAATTTCATGATTAAACAAACATTTGTATTCGTATGCTAAGCTGTTAGTGACTATTATAAAAATAAAAAAATAAAAAACAGTGAAAATATTTATAATATACACTGGAAATTCGCAACTTTTTAATGTAAACACTGTAGGTTGTATTCAAACTATTTGACAATGGTTTCTTATGGAATATGTAAACATTGGTCATTAGGTTTGACTTAATATACTTAAGTATCAATTTTTGTGTTATACCAGGTTTTATGTTATAACGATTAAAAAAATAATAATAAAACAAAATTGTTTTTATCTTGTATTTTCCTGGAAGCATTACATTTTTATTTTATTTGTGCCAGATAAAAACATTTAGTATTTTTCTTTGTTAATATAAACTTATTATCGTATTTGTAATTCTTATAATGTTTGTGATCGTTGAAGAAAACCTTTGGTATCCTTCTAAGCAGCGTAAACTTTTGATTAGAGAAAAGGAGTAATTCATATTAAAATAAAAGTTGAATAAGAACTCAATACATTTACAATAGTTTACTACCCCAATAAATGTATTGGAATACCTTGATATCTTTCGTTTATTTTGGTAATATGTGTTGTAAATCAATTATAGCTCTTAAATTAAATTAAAATTTAATAATTAAATTTTAATTTCATTTAAATTTATTATAGAATCTAGGACCGTACGATCTGCAGTTTTTATCTTATTAAAGATCGTATGTTCCTATGTACAGTTATTATGTTATTGAAACTTCAATAATATAAGAATATCACATTTCCTGCAGTGGATGGTAAACATGGATTGACCAATGGCGTCACCTGCACAGTCTTCAATAATTCATGGAGGCATTATTCTTTCTCTTACTTCAAGGATCTTTCTCAGGCTCAATAAAAAGTTGGTTAATCATAAATACAAAGGAAAATATATACATTGTTTTATAAATACATTTTATTCCTGAGATTTAAATATTGAAATATTACCAAAGGAATAATAATGACATTTTTGTATAATTAGCTGAAAGTCAATAACCTTATGAATTCCTTCTCTGAGTAGTATGTAATTGGTGAACATAGTTTGTGGAACTGAAGGACTATGCCATTGAATTCTGCAATTGAAGTTGGGGTTGTTGTAATTTATATTTATGAATGTTATTGTCGAAATCGTAAGAAAATAAATTCTGCAAAACGATCACATCAAAAATTTTGATTTTATATCTGAAGGGTTCTAAAGAACGGTAAAAACGAATCTGATATTCTTTTTCTTAAAGAAAAAAACTAAAGTGTTATGCTTTAGACTATTGGATAGAAGTGGCGTTTCATATTATTAACAAGGCGAGATTAATAATATGAAATATTATTTTTTTTGTTCTATATATAAATTAATAACATTTACAATATAAAGAATTATAATTAGATATAAATTACTCCAGTAAACTTTGACTAATTGTTTTTTGTATCGTACTAAAAAATGATACAATAGGTTTATGATGACTAAAATATGTGATGAATAATTTTGATCTAAATCTATTTGCCAAATATCTTAAATTCCGTCATTTGAAAAATATAAATTCTGTAAATTTGTCGAAACTCTATCGAGTGCAACAGAAAATCGAATAGAAAAACATACATTTTTTTATGGTTTGTTAAAAAAAAAATCTATAATGACTTCCAGGAATTGTTATCTTCCATGGTATTTAAATTTTGAGATATTTTATTTTTTTTCCTTTCAGACTACCTAACACGGCGTCACGTTAAG